TTCTCTTGACCTTTCTCTCTGTTCTTCTCTCTGTCATCTCGTCGGTTATATTACATGTGATGATCGGAGTTTTGTATTTCAACGGTCAACTGACCAATCAAGGAAGTAATTAGAAAAAAAAGAAAACAGTAAAGGTCCGATTAAAATACAATCGGACCCTTATTTCAAAAAAATGTACAGCTTGAACAAATTTTTTTGGTAAGAATCTGAACAGACAGAAAGATCAACAGGATGCTAAAGTATTGCTGGGAGAGAGTAGCGAGAATGGAAGAAATAACAATGATTTTAAAATTGAAAAAAAAATAAAGCTACAGTTATTCTGGACTTAGCCTCATGCAGACTTGTGTCCGTCAGGCATAAGCCCCGCCTGCACCTCACGCCTACGGGTGCTCGCGGGCTTTGTTACGCTCGGGGGGGCTGGGAGTGTGCCCAGGGGGCTTGATTGGGCAACTCGCGCGCGGCTCGGATCTTGGCACACAGCCAAGTCCCGCTTGGCCGACCCCAAGCGCTGGGCCGATGAGATCATCGACACACCCCGATCTCACCTCCTCATCTTGTCTGACACACCATCACCTTGAGAAATTTATAGGCTTAAAAGAATATAAATTTCAGTAAAATGAAAATGAAAAAGAATAAAATGAGATAAGAGAAAAAGAAAAGAGTAATACCTTAAAAGAACAGGAAGTTAGATGAACTACCGACACAGTAAGTACACAATTGACTCTTAAAGAGTATCTTATCAAATAATTCAGGATAAAAAGCTAAGAACATAAAGTTAGAGCGGTCAACAACTAATGAATGATAATAATAAGAAATAATAATAAAAATACCTCAAAGCTATAAGTCCCTAGCCAATGATCCCTCACACTCGATCGATGCTGAACTTGAAGATTGATGAAGAATAGTTGAGCGAGGTCGAGTTGTGATAAAGAAGATGGGATGAGGAAAGAGCCTGTTGACCGTGCCAAATTGATCATGATGTCATGATCACAACACTCCCGATCTGGAGTATTGACAGCACCTGCACCCACTGTGCACACCTAATTCCAACACCTGCACCCACTGTGCACACCCAATTCCAACACACCCCCTTGCACTCAGCCGGAAGGTGAGGGCATACCAGCTTGAAGAACTCGAAGAACCTTGAAAATTGAAGATCTTCCAATAGATTTTGTAAGAAAATCTGCGAGCATTCCTTGAGTCTTCTTGTAAATCAGAGAAAGATTATCGGAGATGATTTCAGATCGAACAAAGTGATATCGAAGATTCATGTGTTTGGTCTTGAAAGCTGAGTGATTGGATTCATTATTTGCTAGAAGAATTGCCGCTTGATTGTCTTCATAAATCGGGGAAGGCGAAGGAATTGAAAAGTTGAGGGCAGTTTCAGTTACCATTTTGAGCCAGATCAGTTCTTTAGTAACTTCGGTGATAGCTATGTATTCCGCTTCGGTTGATGACAAAGAAATGGTTGATTGCTTCTTTGATCGCCAAGATATTAAATTATCATTCCAAAGAATTAAATAGCCTGTCGTCGATTTGCCCGTAATTTGACAACTTGCCCAACTTGCATCCACATATGATTCAAATTTAAGATCTTCAATTGGAGTTTTACGGATCGTAATTCCAAAATCCTTAGAGCCTTTCAAGTAGCGAAGTGTATGGATTGCAGCGTTCCAATGTAAAATGCCAGGATTCTTCAAGAATTGAGATAAACAGCCTACAGCAAAGGTGATGTCGGGACGAGTTGTAACACTGAGATAATTTAAGGCGCCAACTAATCCTCGATAATGATATTGTAGATTATTTAATTCTTCAATTTCATTTTTCGACGCTTTCACCAGTTGAGAATTTGGTTTCATAGGAGTGGCTAGAGGAATTGAATCTGAACAACCGTATTTGATAATCGTTTCTTCAATGTAATGAGTTTGATTAAGACGAATTTCAGTAGGAGACTGATCAACTTTCATACCGAGAAGATGTTTTGTTTCACCGAGATCTTTGATTTTGAATCGTTTACTGATGAGCCGTTTGAAAACTTCTGGTTCTGAACTGAAAATTGCAATATCATCGACATGAACGTAGAGCCAGGTGTTTGCGGACCAAAAGACACAAGGTTCGGCATAACTTCGATTGAAACCAACTGATAAAAGCCACGAAGACAGAGTAAGATGCCAAGCTTTTGGAGCCTGTTTCAAACCATAAAGAGCCTTCTTAAGTAACAGCAATTTATTCGGAGGAATATTCAAGCCTGGTGGTGGATTCAGCGTTATTCTTTCTCGAATAGGAGCATTAAGAAAGGCGCATTTGACATCGATTTGATGAAATTTCAATCCTCTCTGAGCGGCGAAAGTGATCAATAATCGAAGAGAAACGAGTTTTCCAGTTGGAGCAAATGTTTGATTATAATCACGACCAAAGACTTCCTTAAAACCTTGAACACATAAACGAGCTTTATACTGTTCCGGCTGATTTGAGACTTCAGGTTTAATTCGAAATACCCAAGTACAATTCAAAGGATGTTCTTCTTTAGTCTTGTCGATTAAATCCCATACCTCATACTCCTTCATGTTATCAACTTCACCATCTAAAGCCGTCATCCACTTCGCTTTATTGGGATGTTTGAGAATTTCTTGAAACGATAGAGTATCAGAGTCGACCTCTTTCAAGTTTAATTCCGGTACCCCCCTTCGACGATGAGTG